GCCAGCAGCCGGTGAGCTGGGTTTTCATTATTGTTTGCAAATTGTGGGAAAAAATGCATGGATCCCCCGCCACTTCCACTGCCGGCCTCATTGCGTTTTATAGTCGCAAAAGTTTTTGGTGGCGATTATGCAATCGAAGCTCTGGAACCAGCCAATAAATCAAAATGCCATTCTCAAGACTCCGCCGGCTGCTGCAAGTGCCACATGCAGCAGCAGGAACAACAACATTAAAGACAACAACAATGCGCTGGGGCCCAGTATTCAGAGCATGTCAATGTGGGCCTCCGGTAATGTAATGTTAGCCCAACTCCCCTGCTTCCGCCCAAGTTGCCCTCTTAAAAAGCCCACACATTTCTTAATGCACTTGGGAAAAAGAAGGTAGTTTTCTGATTAACAAGTCATAATATTCTTTATGTAATAAAAAACTGGAAGATAATGTGGTTTTAAAGATAGGAGCATGTTACTTAAGCACAAATGCATCTTTCTTTGCTATGCTTATACACTGAATTTTATATTGGTTTAATAAAATATAGATCGAATTCGCAAAATATTACGCCGAAAAGTATGCTAGACTTGGAGGTATCAGACATCAAATTTATTCGTTTAAGGATGAAATAATATCGATAGAACATTCAATTTTCAATATTTATTGTAAATTCCATCATTCTTACCATTGAAACATTTTTAAGAACCACTTTTCTATCATAATTGCAGGATTAACTTAAATCTTAAATGGATATTTTAGGCTTAATTGGTTTCCTTTCAAAATGTATTAGAGAATTTTCTAAAATAAAAATTTAGTAATATATACAGTATTGAATGTAATAGGTTTCCATGTATTATATACTCTATTTTTTTAAGAAATATTTTTTTAAAGTGATATAAAATAGGAAATTAAAAATAGTTTGCTGTGTACAACATTTACCGTTTCGGCAAGGTCTGCCGGCCAGCTGCCAGTTGGTCTCGATCTCCCAGATTCTTGCGATTTGCCACTTGCCACGAATCCGAATCCGAGTCCGAATCCAAGTATATAGTATGCCACATGTGCCACCCATTGCACAATTGCAGAATGTGCGACTGTCCTGCTGTCCCGCTGTCAATAAGCCAACAAAAAGCTAGTTTATTGAGTCGTCGTCGCCGTCGCCGGTTCTCTGCACTCAGTTAACCCAACCTGTCATGCCCACGCGTCGAGGCCAAGTGGCCAAGTGGCCTGGGCCAAAAAAGCATCCGAGTGGCCACTCATTCGGTTTGTCACACTATACCCATGCCCATTTAATGTGGTGCATATGGGCACTCGAAAGGAAAGTGTTCTTCTAGTTGCCAAAGGTGTGAGATGCGAAAAAAGGTATCAGTTGACCACTTTAAGTCAAGCAAATTGTTCTTCAAGTTTCAAAAATACACCATAGCAGACAATGATAAATATTCTTTCATTTCGTAGGTAGCTCGAAATGGAAGTTCTTCAAGATGTACTTTCGTTAGTTTAAGTCAAAATAGGCATTGCTTTTGCTAATTGCTTTTGGCCTTGCCATTAAGAAAAAAATGGTAGGCTTTCTGCTAAAAGGTTATGTTTTTATACGTTGATAAAACGAGCTTATTGCAGTTGCTAAAGTCGTGAGCTAAAGACTTGATTAAAAAACTTAATTAGGTTTTTTTTTGCAGGTCAAGGAATGGAAGTACTTTATGATTACTTCGGTCTAATATAATTTTCATAGAAAATTTTACCTTTTTTAGGCACATTGTTTGTGTTGTTCTGAAAAATGTTATTATGTTTTATAAACTTAAACCATTGTAAAATTATTAAAACCTTAAAGATGTTTTTGTTCATCATTAAATACATCCAAATAAAGCCTAAAATAACAATCTAAAATCGAACCTTTTTGTTTACTCACATTTCCAACTGAAGAAACTTAAAGTCTGAAAAACCTTCTCTACCATTGTGGGTTTTTAATGAATGGATTTCGCGATTCTCTTCTCATGGGTAATTCCATGGTCGAGCTCTAACGTTTTCCTGTCATTTCCTGCCGACGTTTTGCCAGCGTTTTGCTGATTAAGTTTCAATTTGAATTCGAGTTCTGGGCGGGAAGTGTGTGGGGTCAGTGCAGGTGGGGCAACAACCCATGGGCTGATGACCCAATTGCAGCCAGTCGAAGACCACTTCAGTTGGGCTTTTAGAAGCCTCCTACATGGAGGTTTCCTACTCGCATTGCGCCTGATGATCGACTGACCCACAAAAAGCCTTCGGCGGCCAAATGGCGGGGTATGGGGGATATGGACTTAAATATAGCTATCAGGCTTTAAGTGGCAGCCACTGCCGCCTGAGCAAATTTATTGAATCTCATTGAGCAGCTTTCTTTCTATACTTTCTCGCTCGCACTTGGCAGGGGAAAAATCGCCAGCGATTTGTTTATTGCGGAAGAAGTGAAAAGTGCGCGGCCAAATCACACCGTCTTTATGCTCGTGCAAATTAATTTGTCTTAGACATTTCAAAGGCATCTCACGGATGCGTATCTTGTGGTTTCTGTGGTCACTGGGATGTTTACATTTCGATATACCACCGATATGTGTGGCTATATCCACAGATATCCGATGATGAGTTGGCTTAAAAGAGCGCTGCTTCATCTCTTTTTCCTTTGGCCACAAAGTGCGTTTTAATTAACCCACGAGTCGACCTGGCCAATTACTTTCTGCCTGCTTCTGCATTTTTTTTTGTTACTTATTTATATTTTTTTTTGTCGAGGATTCGCAATGACTTTCACTTTCTCGCCCGGGCCGGCAACGTAGGGGTTAAGGGGAAAAGTACAGGCGGCGGCGGAGGGTTAATGAGGATGCCACATTGCTGCACATTTCGTGCCGCTTCATTGTGATTATCTTGTTGAAGAGATTCAAACTGTGGCAGCCGCTTTCGTGTAATTTATTTGTTTATTGTCTTGGCCAGGGCCAGGCCAGAAACACACACTCCCACTCCCCGGCACACACACACATTACACACCGGTCGATCCATCCGACTATACAACATCCACTTTATACAAGCCACCCACCTGGGGAGGCAACCAACCTAAACCTTCAATTTCGGATGGAGGCCAGCGTGATTCGTGAGTCCACATCTTGGGATTAGTTGAAACTCAAACGAGGTTTCAAAATATTTAATATATTAAATTAAAATAAGATCATATAATTAATTCTTCCTACTTTCTAATGGGAACGAAAAAGATAATAAATTTGACACTCACTGAAAGAAATAATTGTATGTACGGAAATATCTAACATGAAAATGGGTTAAAAATTGGACTCTCGTTTCACATTAATATTTTAATGTAGAATATCAAAGAATTCTTCCACAAACTCATAGAGGTATCCCACTTCAAAATCGGACTACAGTAACTTAAGTTATGGAATCTAGAAGTGCAGTTTTGGGGTCCCATTCTGAAACCCATTGGAAATACGGAAAAATCGAACATGAAAATGGGTTTAAAATGTGACACTCTTTTATAAGAAATATTTTAATGTAGAATATTAGAGAATTTCACCACAAACTCATAGAGGTATCCCACATCAAAATCGGAATCCAATAAGTCAAGTTATGGATTACAGAAGTGCAGTTATGGGGTCCCATTCTGAAAGCCATTGGTAATACGGTAAAATCGAACATGAAAATGGGTTAAAACTGTGACCCCCTTTGAAAGAAAATATTTGAACGTAGAGCATTAAAGAATTTCACCACAAACTCATAGAGGTATCACACATCAAAATCGGGTCCCAATTACTCAAGTTATGGCATCTAGAAGTGCAGTTTTGGGTTCCTATACTGAAACCCATAGGAATTACGGTAAAATCGGACATAAAAATGGGTTAAAATTGTGACCCCCTTGGAAAGAAAATATTTGAATGTAGAGCATTAGAAAATTTCACCACAAGCTCATAGAGGTATCCCACATCAAAATTGGATCCCAACTACTCAAGTTATAGAATCTAGAAGAGCAGTTTTGGGTTCCTATACTGAACCCATAGGAAATACGAAAAAATCGAACATGAAAATGGGTCAAAATTGTTACCCCCTTTGAAAGAAAATATTTGAATGTAGAGCATTAGTGAATTTCACCACAAACTCATAGAGGTATCCCACATCAAAGTTGGATCCCAATTACTCAAGCTATAGAATCTAGAAGTGCAGTTTTGGGTTCCTATGCTGAACCCATAGGAATTACGAAAAAATCGAACATGAAAATGGGTTAAAATTGTGACCCCCTTTTAAAGAAAATATTTGAAAGTAGAGCATTAGTGAATTTCACCACAAACTCATAGAGGTATCCCACATCAAAATTGGATCCCAATTACTCAAGTTATGGAATCTAGAAGTGCAGTTTTGGGTTCTTATACTGAAACCCATAGGAATTACGGAAAAATCGGACATGAAAATGGGTTAAAATTGTGACCCCCTTTGAAAGAAAACATTTGAATGTAGAGCATTAAGAAATTTCACCACAAACTCATAGAGGTATCCCACATCAAAATCGGTTACGAATTACTCAAGTTATGGAATCTAGAATTGCAGTTTTGGGTTCCTATACTGAAACCCATAGGAATTACGGAAAAATCGGACATAAAAATGGGTTAAAAATGTGACCCCCTCCTATAATAAATATTTGAATGTAGAATATTAGGAAATTTCACCACAAACTCATAGAGGTATCCCACATCAAAATCGGTTCTCAATTACTCAAGTTATGGAATCTAGAAATGCAGTTTTGGGGTCCCATTCTGAAACCCATAGGAAATACGGAAAAATCGGACATGAAAATGGGTTAAAAATGTGACCCTCTTTTAAAAGAAATATTCGAATGTAGACCGTTCGAAAATTCCACTACAAACTCATAGAGGTATGCCACATCAAAATCGGAATCCAATAACTCAAGTTTTGGATTACAGAGGTGCGGTTTTGGGTTCCCATTCTAAAAGCTTTTAGAAATACGGAAAAATGGAAAATAATACCCTGTTCCTGATCAAAATACCTCATAAAAGGTTATTTATTTTCTTTGGTGTTAAATTGTTTCATAAACCTGATTGCAGTGAAGAGCTGGTAAAGATCTCGTGATCACGAGGCCATCTCCAGAAAAGTGCAGGAGTCCGCTGCTGTTACACTTGCACTTGCCATTTGCTACTTGTACCGCTGCTCTTGTTGTTGCTGCTGGCTTGTTGTTTACCTATCGTCTCGTTTTGTGTGGAATCGCTCACAGTTGTCCGTCCAACGGAGCGTCCGTCCGTCCAACTGTTCGCCAGTCCGCCCATCAGTTCAGTTGGACCGCTAGTCGCTCCGTTAGCTCGTTAGAGCTGAAGATGAACAAGTTTTTCCTCAACCGAACTGGCACTCTAGGCTTATTTCTTCATGAAGCCAGGAAGCCAGCGATTTCTCATCTTTGTTGTTGCTTTCCGCCTGATGTTGCTCTTATTGTGGATGTTGATGTTGATGTTGCAGTTAGTGCTTTCCCTTGATGCAGAGCCACCCGCAACCTCTGGCCCCTGGAAAACCACACACAAGCACACTCACCACTCATGCGAGGCGGCTTAATTAGCTCCATGGGCTTTTCTGGCCTTTCTGGCTCTTCTGGCATCTGTACTGTGGCATCTTCGGATTGGGATTGTTTCGCTTTCGTTCTCACATCCCGCCGCTAATGCTATTTTTTCCGAGTGAGTGAGCTTTTCCAACTGGCGTTTTTCGCACACCAATTTTTCACTTGATCAAAAGAAAGTTCCTAGCGATTGGGTCCTCAAAATTTCGCTCAGCACGAGAGGTAAGGAAAAATAAAACAAAACGAGACGGAGTGAAAGAGTTAAGTGCATTTCCTGGAAATAACGTTTCCTCTGCCGCAGCCAGCAGAAAAGCCAGTTCGGTTTTCCTCACTTTTCCGCACTTCGGCGGCTTTCAACTTGTTTTGGTTTTCGGTAACTTTGGAGTGGTATAGATTTGTAGTTCTAACCCCGAATGAAGTTCAATGATTTTTGGTTTACCGTCGATGGATGTGTTGTGGCGAGCAGCATGATGAGTTCTTGTTTTCAATTCAGAGATAATAGATATTAAACATCTTTTCTTTATTTACAATTTTGATTAAAACGGATTTACACATTTTGGAAAAATTTTAGTTCAATGTTTATAATTTTGTTTATTCCAAATAAAGGTTTTGTGTGCTTACTAAGAAAGACAGTAAATGAAAATACAACTTTTCTTGTAGAAAATTCGTGTTCTCAAAATTTTGGAATTATTTAGGATGAAAAGAAAGCATTTATTTAGGCACTAATCCAAACTGGTTGTCATTAAATTAAACCAACAGAAGTTAACATTTATTTTAACATTTTATGGATCAAATAAAAATAAAAATATAAATTTAATTTAATTAATATTTTTTACTAACCTGACTGCAGTAAAAAGTAAAAGGAGTATACTAATTTGATTTTATACCGTAATTTATCTTCGCAATAAAAGGAACCAGTGGTATTAAATTTCCGTATATAAGCAGAAACTGATTTACCTTTCCTTTTTATGAGTGCCATACATTTTATTAGAAAATATTAAATCAAATTTGAATAAAGCAAACAACCAGAATCTCTGGTCTGTGAATTAAATTCCCTGCGAAGCCATCTTCTGTTTGAATGCGTTTGTCTCTCCACTTGGCTGCATCTTCCACCTTCTCCGGTTGAGTCATGCGATCTGGCAGAGAAACAGTAGAACGGGCCAGAGAACTTGATCCGATGTGGAGTTGGGTCTTTGGTTTTGGCCAAGAGAGTCAAGTTGAGTTACGCGGGCACTAAGTAGAGCCAAACTCGATTTCAGTTGGCTTTTTCTGCCGCAGCAAGTTAGCCAGTTTCTTCGTTTTCGTTTGTTTTCGGTGCCACATTCCCTGCTCGTTGGCCTGGTCGCTTCTCACATGATTAAGCCAGATTGCTTTCAGCTGCCAGCCGGATCGCAGTCTCCTCAGCAAATCTGCAAAGACTCTGCATCTCGGTTTCTTCACTCGCAGACTGCAGTTGTTTGCCTATTTATAGCGCGGCGCTTTGGACTTTGACCAGATCTTCGAGCCGATGACGCAGCGTCTTCGGTTTTACAGGGGAAAAAATAAATATTCTCGAAAGTTATTGAGATTAAAACTGTACGATTTTGTATATTTTTGAGGTACTTAAAAACCTAACTTATCCTTTCTAAAGGAATAATGTTTTTCAGCCTAATTATTTTCGAGGTTAATATAACAACGTTCTTAACGTAAAAAATATTATTATAAATATTAGTACACCTTTTTAAAATTATAAATATTTATAAACTAAACAGAATCTGTAATATGTGATCTTTCCAAAATCTTGACTATCTTAAACCTAGCAGAATCTGTTATATATGTTCTTTCGAAAATCCTGACAATCCTGACTTATAAAGATATAAAAAGATCTCTTTATGTGCAGAGATTTGTGCTACGATTTACATCATCGCCTTCCAGCGGGGAATACTCATATGTGGCTGCCTCGAGTGGAGTTCAAGCCCCGAGAGGTCGTAGAAATCTCCGAGTCCATTGCGAAATCTTCAGCACACTCGAGATCTGCATTCTTATGGGGAGGCATCGGCAGACTTCTTCTGCCCCAAAGACCATTGCGAAATGCAAATATCAACAAATGAGCAAATCGTTTCGTTATTTGTTTGACAGTAACAGCAACAGTTGCATCAAAGTGGGTAAACAAAGGCTGGAGGAGATGTCGATGGGAATGGAGATGCCATATGGAAGTGGAAAATATGGGAGGCGATACGATGTTACCTTGGAGGCCCCGTCGTTTGCCTGATGAACGGTTGACCCAGTCGAGTGGTTTTGGGCCAGCAAACGCATTCTGGTCTGTGGACTTGGTCTCGAACTAAATTGATGCTAATTGCTAATTGCATAATAGGTTCATTTGATCTTGGGCTTCCGCATTGTGCCATCTGCTGGGCCCTGGAATGCAAATCCCTCGCAGATCTTGAATTAAAGCCATCACAAACACTTTTACGAGTGCAAAAGGAAGGCGTTTGTATTATGAGCACAGCGTGTGGATTACTCATACGCCCCATCGTCCACACCAGGACACGCCCCCCTTGCGAATCAATGGCAACGCCCCTCTACGCTTTCCCAGCGCTTTTCCCTGCGTCATGGCGAATGAGTCGGAAAACTCCCAAGGAGGCCAACTCAAATGCAGAGATATTTATGGCCCAGCATTGATTTCAGCCATTCGATTCGGCTCTTAACTGCGTTCTGTGTGAAGCTGTGCTTGATTTAACAGTCGATTGGGCGGGGAGAATGTAATTTAAAACGACAACCCCTTCGATTAATCGTAAAAATCAAATCTGTAGGAGTTCGGTTACCATTGCAAATAACAATTTGTGTACCGAACTGGCAACTAGTAGGATTTTAAATTGATATTTTGTGAGTAAACATGTGAACTTCGTGTATATTAAAAACACTCCTATGAAGTACTTTCTTTTGATTTTTTTCTGTAAGTACAGAAGTATTATATATATTCAAGAAAAGGTTTTTTAATGTACTTAAGAGACTAGACCATACTGTAACTTAATTTCAAAAAGTACATTTAATATTAACTTCTGCAATGGGTGAGTTTTTTTCTGGCACACGATTGCCATGGCTTGTTAATTTTCACTTTGTCCGGCTAGCGAAAAATGCCAGGCAAAGAGAATCGGAAAACCTTTTCAAGTTCATGGCTAGAAGCAAATACAACAACGCCCCACAAGAGCTGCAATTTTTGAATTAGCCAAATTACTATTATTTGCCGCAGCACATAGATACAAATGCCGAAAACACACATGCAGAAAAACAAACGCATGGATACAGATACAGCCTTGTCTGTCTGGCTTTTCGCCTTGGCTCTCAAATTTTTGGCCCTGCAAACGTGGCTGAATGATTTAATGTCCTTTTTGGCAGCCACACCCCGAAAATCCCACCCCGCAAACCCTATGCAGTTGTTGTCTAGACTGCGGCAAACGAACTTTATTTCGGCTTTTCTCTATTCTCCATTCTCATTTCTATATTTCTCATGTATTTCACTATTTTTCGGCGAAAAAAGTGAGTTTATACCCCAGGAGCTTAAGGACCTTCCCCCAATTCAATTTATAATGCCGCGACATTTTGCACTTTGCTTTGGCTTCAAGTTTGCGTGACTTAACGTCTTTGCAATATATATACAATATAAAAAAAAAAAGGAATTAGCCAAATGATAAAATTTTTCCTTTGCCTCTATTTCACTTTTAATTCAAAGCGGATTTTGGCATTACCTTGGCGGGGGTCGCTCTTTGTGTTTTTTTTTGGTTAGGCTCTTGGAAAATGGCAGTCGGAGGGGTTCAATGGAGTTCAGTTTTGATATTTGCGTGCCTGGCCACAAAAAGTTTCGCAAACGGTTTTTAATGCTGCACACAACGATGCGCATTGCCGATAAGGTCGCTCTCCCTCTCAGAAAGGGTTTTGCATTGCATAACACCATCAATCTTTTGACCAGGCCAAAAGCAAGGAGGATAGGCTCTGCCGCAGGCCATATATCATTCACAGTGTCTGGTTGGCCTAACAACATGCAACAACAGCAATTAAAGCCAATGAATTGACAAGAAAACGCCGGGCCAGGCTAAAATCTAAAATCTAAAATCCAAACAATTGTTATCTCCCAGAGACAATTGCCGCCTTTGTCTTTTTGCAAAACTCAGTTTCAGATACAGATTCAGGGTGAGGCCCGCCAGCGAAATGTTGGCCAAATTGTTGGGTACTTTTCTGCAATGATTTGCCATTATTTTTTAGATGGTTTAAATCCAAAATTTGCATATTACCTTAAGTAAGGGAATGAATGGAATTGTTACTATGACTGGCTAAGCAAAACAATGAATGAATACGAGTATCCAACCAACCAACTATTTATAAACCTTTCGAGGTATTTATATAATCCCCAGAAAACTGAAAAAATCTTACGTTTGGTTTACTATAAAAAAGTTGTAACTTGAGTCTTCCAAATATTTTAGAGATTTATTAGAAATTTGCATATAACCTTAAGTAAAGAAATGAATGGAATTGTTATGATGATTATGATTAAGCAAAACAATGAATGAATATCCATCAAGCTACTAGTTATAAACCGTACGAGGTATTTATGTAATCCCCAAGAAAACTGAAAAGTCTTAAATATCGTATGTTTGCTTTACTATAAAAAATGTGTATCTTATAAATATTTTGGAGACTTCTCCAAATCAGTATCTTTTCCTCAATCTTTAGCTCCCCCATCTCTGATTGAAGGTGAACAGCAAAGAAAACAAACCGAATTAAAATATGTATAAATTATAAATTGTGCACAAATTGCAATTAAGGTCAAGTTTCAGTCGTCGGCTGCTGCTTGACCTGCTTAGACTGGAAGTCTCCTCATCTCGGGTCCCCAAATTAAATTACCAAAGCGGAAACAGTTTAATTTCGAGCAATTGAGCCACGTAATTAACGAGATGAGATGATGACGATGCTGTAAGATTACGTTTTGCAGCGCCAGCAAATGATTCTCGATTCTGCAACTTCCATTTCCACACAAAATCTGCAACTGAGTTGCGGGCCCATAAATTTTGCGGTTTGTTTGGGGCCTTGGCCATAACGGTATTCGTTTAGTAAGTATGAGAGTGCAACATGCTGCGATTTTGCCTGGTTTGCTGTTTTGGATTTCGGTCTCTGATTTTTGCCAACTCAATGTTTGTGAATGAAATATTTGAGTTGGCAGTGGCAAAAGGTTATAAATTCGACAGGGTCTGCGGTTGAAATACTTTGACTAAAGGCGGTAAATCTTGTGGCACGAATATTGAATTTTAATTTTACGGTTATTGAAATTTAAGGTTCAGATTCTAAGGAATTTTTAAAGACATTTATTTTTGGGGGAAAACATATGGCATTTTAAACTTCAACCGAAATCTACTTTATAAATTTGATTGAAATTTGACACTCATTTCCCCTTCTAAAATAATAATCAAATCCGGCAGTAGAATTTCTAGTAATAACCATACCATATCCATATCTAAAGTGTAAACTTCTTGCATAATTTCCATGGAAATGATAGACCAAACACAAATTCATTTTCCACTATCGCTTACACTTCTTTGTTGGTTGTCTTACTCACTTTCGCTGGCAAGAAAAACGAGCAAAACAAACCAAATAAATAAGGCGGCAATAGAAGCGATAAAATACAAATAAAAAATGTTAAAACGCTTAGGGGCCCAAAGTACTGGACCTCATGTTCCGCCCCTTTAACACGACCACGCCCACGCAGCGTTTTGGCGATTTCATCAAAATGCGCATAAATTTGTGGCCTGCACTGTGGTGTTTGTGTGAGTTTTCTGCCGAGTAAGACGTCTGCGGCGCCCACTGTCCATGTGGGTGGTCGACGGTGAAAAATTGGAGAAAAGGCCATTTGCATCTTTCTCTCCGGTTTGCAAGTGTGTAGATCTTGGGACACTGAGAAAAATGTTAATGACTTTCTAAACTTTTTATTTTAAACCATTTTAGAATACTTCTAGTATGGTATACAAAAAATACTAGTAGTATACTAAATGGTATTAATATACTAAAGGTGTATTTCAAAATATATTTAGAAGTAAAAATAATTTATAATATAATTCTTTATATTATAAAGAATTCTTTTATTTTACATGTATTATATTTTCAACAGAACTAATTAAAATCAAATATTGACATCCCTTTAAGAACATGCATTCTTTCAAAATTGTAGTATTAGTATTATATATAATTATATAAATTATATCTGCAGTATTTTTCTGTTAAGCCAACTTTTTTTTCTGTGTACCTGTGTGCTTGGCTTCGATTTCTAAAACAAGAAAATTTGCATTTAATTGGGCAAGTTTGCTCTAAACACGCGGTGGGGAATGTGCGGCGAGTGGAGGTGCTACAAAGCGTATTTATTCTGCTTTGAAGTGACAACCCCTGACCAGATGAAAACCCCTTTTCCTTTGAGCCTGGGAAAAACGCAGCTGATGAGATTTGGCTGACATCAATCAGCCTGAGATCTTTGCATTTGTCTGTTTTTCTTTTTTTGGGGGCCGGGGTTTGTTTGTTATTTTATCTGCGACACGATGACGTTTTCAAAAGACCAAAAAACTAAAAAAAACCGATGAGTGAAAGTACATTTTCGTATGTGGCGCTGCAGTGGTTGTCATTTCATTTCATTTCTTTTGGCCCGGCCGTAATGTGTGTAAAGTTTGCAACCGTCGACAGACGACTTCTCATGGCTGTTTGTCTCTTTGGCTTTTGATTGTCTGGCGATAGCCAATTGAGATTTTCATTTGTCAGTCAAAACAGCCACGGCGAAACAAAGGCCGAAACCGCCGAAAGACGAAAGACGAGACGCGTCTGTCAATGACATAGAAAGAGAGTTTAAATCTTCCAAGCCTGAGCATGATATGTACTTGTTACTGGGATCTGTTGCTGTTGTTTTTCTTGGCCAATGCACTGGGTCTGATTAGACTTTTGTTGATGTTCGAGTATCTGCTTTTCACTTTCCCTCTCTCTGGGGTCTCGTTTCTCGGTTTCATCTGCGTCATCCAGAGATTTCCAATTCTTCTATCACGGCGCACGTGCTCAGCCACTGGGTGAAGAGTGTCTGCGGGAGAATTCAAAAAACTGTTGGTCAGGGGCTAGATTACGAGCTCATTTTTTGACCGGAAGTGCACTTGTACTATCAGCGTGCATCACTCCCGCTGTGAATGTAAAAAGAGAACAATGTGTTGATACCTATTGATTCTTGGGTATTCCAGACTTTAAAGAACACAAGATTCTACAAGAATTACTAGCTAGTCAAAGTAATACTT